AGATTCGCCGTGCTGGCCAGTGTCGAGGGATGTTCCGCCCCGAGGACTTCCTTCCGCCGGCTAAAAGCCTTTTGAAGGTATATTTCTGACTGAGTAAAATTACCACTCCATTGTAATGCCTCTCCGAGGTTATTGCACGCTTCTAGGACCTGGTTTTCCGGAATTCCCAACTCTTTCTCTCTCCACTGTAGCACGGCAGTATGTGCTTTCACAGCGGCGTCGTATTTCCCATCAACCACGAAACATAGACCCATCTTTGTAAGTAGTTTGTACCGCTCAGGAAGATCAACGACCTCGACATCTTCACAAAGACGCTGGGCATGGGGTAAGTAGAGAGTCCAAATACCTCTGTGCTCATGGTCACATGCCGGGAAAAGCTCGGCGACTCGCTCGAGGGAGGCTTTCATCCAATTATGTAGCGTGCCTTCTTTTCTTAGCCAGTTTCGAGCGGCCAAGTATACCAGCCGATGCATATTGTACGACTCCTCATGAATTCCTTCGTCTTTCTCTCTCGCCTGTCTGGTCACGAAAGAATATCCCTTTAGTGTAGCAAAGGCTTCAACAGCATCTTTCTTCGAGCTAATTACTGGTAAGAGGGACCGTGGAATGTTCTTTTCATGAAGGCAAACCATCGAGCTTAGAAGCTCTGCGGAGAAGGGGTGGTGCTTGCGAATTTGGTTGAACGACACAAGCCACGTTGTAGCGACCGCATTACGAGCGTTGGAGTATCGTGATCGGTCGCCAAAATCCTCACTCAGAAGCTCGACGACTTCTTCCTCGCGCTCGTCGAGCAGATCTAGGTAGGTCTTCACAGGCTCTTGGGTCATATTGATGTAAGACGCGGCCTGAATAATGGCCAGGGGGAGATAAGTCAGCCTTTCAAGCAAGGCCGACGTGAGGTTCTCGTCCGCAGCCATCTCTGGTTCCTCCAATGCATTTGTGAACATTGTCCTCGCTTCGTCAAGGAGCAATATTGGTAATTCGACCACCTCTTTTCCGGCGAGATAGCTGGCCACACGGCGTGACCGGGTTGTGACAAGAATAGAGCCATGTCTCGAGCGAGGGAGATAATCCACGAGCGTAGACTTCTCATCAGCGGGATCCGATCCTTTCCCCCACAGCACCTCGTCATCAGCGTTGTCGAGGACCACGAACCAGCCGTCTTGGGCTACATTGAGCCATTGCTTGACTAGAATTTTGACGTCGGCCTTGTCGGCTTCAATGCCCGGAATTCTAAGCCTCTTGCCGATGCCGAGCATATCCCGCTCAAAGGTTAACTGATCGGTGGCTTCGATCCAGAAGACCGAACGTTGTACGTGCTCCGACCTGACCTGGCGGATAAGCTCCATTGCCAGACGACTTTTCCCAACCCCTCCTAAACCCAGTATAGAGACAACTCCCTGATTAGTGCGGTCAAGGATCCTCTGTTTCACACGTTCCATCTCATCTATGCGACCCACAAATTCCGACAGTCGATCAAAGGGTACATACCAGACCGAGTTCGTCCCTTCGCCGTCTGATAACTGGCTGACGACAGGCTGTTTCCCTACTCGTTTATCGATTTCATCCTGGAGTCGAATGAGTGCATGCTCGCCTTCACCATAAATGAGAGGCATAAACACATCAAAGATGCCTAGTAGACAGTATGCCTTATCCTCGGGTTTAGTGGTGGTTCGCTTCGCAGCCCATCGCATCCGCTCAGGAACGCTGAAGTTGTTCACAGCAAAACCGCGGAGAGCCGTAATGGGAATGTCCGTGGCCTCGTGAATTAGTCGCTCTAGAGTGCGCCGGTCGCCCAGCCATGTCCCTTCTCGTGAAAAGAAGTCGACCGATTTCGGAGCCAGCAGTTCTTGGAGCGTCCAACCGCGGGTGAACCATCGGCTGTTCCGGAAGTCCGACAGCCATGTCGCGTCGGTCGAGTGATGTGGGTCACCCATGGCCACCGATACGTCTGATAGATACACATAACACTTTTCGGCATCATGGTACCAGCGAAACATCGAAGCAATGGCTTCGCCGAGCTCAACGGCATCTTTTTTATCGATACAGCATGTGTCCACCCAGAAATGCTGTATACCATCCTTCTGGGCCTGTTTCCGGCAGAATTCAATCTTAGCATACCCACGCTTGCTCTTCCCGGATTTATCTTTCAGGTCAGACAAAGTCACTTCGTCCTCTTCATTTGTTGACCATGTGTGTGACAGGATCGCATAGCTGGGGATGTCTTTGCTCAGCTTCCTGGTGAGGCTTGCTTCGCCCGGAGTGTCGGCCTTCAACAGGCGCATCGCGGGATTTCCAATTTCAGGAAATGGTAGAGGCGAGGCGGAGAGCAGAAACTAAAGGAGGCGAGAAGCGAAGGCGCTTTAGCTGGACAGACCTGTCGAGAAGCGGTGTTATGTAAACTTCATGGCATGGCAAGAGAGGCAGTTGAGGGAGGTTGTATAAGGCTGGGCGCCGTCGAAGGAAGTATAATCGCGGTTGCCCCCGCGATAGATTCCAGGTGGGAGAAAGAGAAGATAATTGCAACAAGAAAACCAAAGATATCTTGTTTGACGGCGTGTGCAAGCACCATTAATCAAGCCACAGTCGCAGTCGCGTTGATGGGCACGCGGATGCATAGTGAAGAGTGTTCGATCAGGCTGAAGTACAACGCAGCAAAGCAGGCGCAGGCGCGGCGAGGGTGACGTCGTTTTCTGGCTGTGGGGGAACTGGTCGCTCACGGCTGGACCGAGCCGAGGCCTGACTGACTAAGCAAATATAGACTATTTGCGACACGATAGCATGCGTTGATGTGGGCGGCGGTGGCAGTCATCTCGGCCCTATGCCTGACCCATTAATTTCACCCATCTTGCATACTCCATCTAAGTTAGGCGAAACCCTCTTAAAGGCCGTAAACTGCCTGTAAAGTGCGAGCGACCTCTACGGCTCGTTCAGAGATCTCCGTCGTAGATCAGTTTTTCATTTTCCCTTAACAAGGTCTCGTTATATCTGATCGCTGTCCAGGAACGACTGCAGCACGATTATTCACGGTTGGGGAAACCGCCGATCGCTTAACTATTTTAAACTAACAAAGTGTTGAAGTGTGCGCAGTTCGCAATCTCCTCGGCTAAGCTTCGATGGGAGGATTTCCCGCCGCTCTGAAATCTAGTGGCTACCACAAAAGTCATGGGTAAACGAACCCAATGTAAGACTAAAATTTTTAGCTATCCATACTGTATTGCTTGTATCACAGTCTGAACCCCCTCGCCTCTAATTCGTGGTTCGGACGGAAAGACTATTATATATCTAGCTAGCATCACGCCTATGCTCCCTCCACTTTCTGTAGGAGAAATATTTTGTGTGTCCGCGATAAGGTCAGCCGGTCCCGGGAAGGAGTGTACCAGAAAATGCGATGTCCTGTTGGTTGTCCCAAAGGACCCTATTGTTTCATTGACGATGAAGATCCTGAGAAAACGCACTACAAGTTGTACACTCCATATCTTCGACAACTCGTGAAGCATAAGCTTGAAGGGAAAAGGTTTGACTCACACGCTGATATCCCCGATGGCCTTCGCAAAGATCTTTATGCCGAAGCAGAAAGGGCAAATGCCCGCAAGCGCACGGCCCGAGCTCTTTCTCCAGCAGGGCCTGTGCCGGTTACCATCAACAACACTTTCCCTGAACAGTTAACCGCCGGCTCATCGTCGACAACTGCTGTGGGGGGG